AAATCGACTATACTAAAAAGGGTATTGTCTCTCCATCTTAGAATCCAATGAAATAACTTCGGATCTAACACTAAAATTCGATTTATCTTTTTCTTTTTTATATACAAAGTAAACATTAGAGGTATTAATTTGATTTCGAAATTAAATCATCTAATAAAACATACTTTTCTAGCTTTCTATCTAAATAAAATATCGATTCGATCAAGACTAAAACAAAGAAAAAAAAATGCCTTGTATCATCTCTTTTATCATATCGATTAAGTATCCCAAAGATGATTTATTTTTTTCGTAGATATAATCTTCATACGATTTCAATATGTGACTTATATTTTAAAGGTTATGGACCTCGAGTTAAAACTAAAAGAAGCTCTTGACGAAGCAACAACAGGTGGACCAACTAGAGAAAAACGTTCACCCGGCGAATGGATACCTCGACCTCCTGAAAAATTTGAATTAAAAGGTCACCGTGAGACGGTGACACGTGTTGTCTTTCATCCAACTTTCGATATTATTGCGTCATCTAGTGAAGATGCCACAATCAAAGTAAAACAAAAGCAAAATTAAAATATTAAATTGAAAAGAAAAAAAAATGAATTTTTTCTATATAGATTTGGGATTATGAGTCAGGTGAACATGAACGAACATTAAAAGGCCATACAGCACCGGTGCAAGATATTGCTTTTGATCATACAGGCAGATGGCTAAGTAAATTAATTTCATTGATTAAAATTATTTTCTAGTTTTTTTTTTTTTTGTCTAGTATCATGTTCGGCTGATATGAGTGTTCGATTATGGGATTTCCAAACATACCAATGTGTTAAAACAATGCGTGGTAAAAAGAAAAACAAAAAACCAGTTTTTTTTTAAATTTTTTTGTTATCTTCTGAGGTCATGATCATAATGTATCTTCAATAACATTTACACCTAGTGGTGATCATATTATATCCAGTAGTCGTGATAATACAATAAAAATTTGGGAAGTATCAACGACGTAAGTTTTCGTATTTAGTTTATAAACAAATAGAAAATAAACAAATACTAAATAGATTTTGTATTAAAACTCTTATTGGTCATCAAAAATGGGTACGTATGGTACGTGTTTATCAAGATGGAACACTCATTGCAAGTTCATCAGACGATCATGTATGTTATCTTTTTCTTTTTATAAATTAAATATCAAATTATTTAATAGACTATAAGAATATGGTCGTTACCAAATGGTGAATGTAAAAGTGAATTACGTGGTCATGACCATGTTGTTGAATGTATTGCTTGGGCACCTGATTCCGCTGGACCACATATATTAGAACCTGTTCCTAATGGTGGAATTGAGGTATTCAATTTTTTTCGATATTACTTGGGGTATAGTCAAAAGTAATAAAAGAAATATATTAATTCGTTATAAAAATAGCTGAAAAAAAAACTTTTTCTCTATATGTTCTGATTGTTCAAAACAATATTATACATATCTGTGATATTTTAATCATTCTTCTTCTAATATCATAAATTTGATAAGAACTATTTGTTATGGTATGTGACAGTAATATTATATTACATTTTATCTTTGATGTGTATTCTCTTCTTAATGTTCTTTTCACCAGCTTCCGGAATTTTCTTTTGGAATTGCTCTATAAATTCCGTTGTATGTTATCATAAAATGAAAAAAAAACTAGATTGAAGGCAAGTATCTAGTTGAGGATTAGTTGAGAATTGAAGTTGATTCTTCAGAATTATAACTCTGTTTTGATACAGATAAAATATATTATAGGCTCTCAATAGGATAAGTCCAAGTTAATCCGATGGCTTTAATAAATTTTAGTAACCACCGGTTCTCTTCTTTCGTCTCCTCAAATGTCAAGTCATCTATAAAGATTGATGTATAGAAAAAATAGTGGCAGTGAAACAAAAAGAACAAAGAAAGAAATACAGAAACAAGTTTATCAAGTGTTTATTCATTAAATATTCGAAATCTTCAGTCTATTTATCTACACTTAACTGCATTCATTGAATAAATTTATCGAACGTTGTTTTTTATATTCTACGTTATTTAAAGTACTCATGAACTTACTTATAGCATGATGTAACGATTTAAAATTGTTTTGATAGCTTAATTTTTTGTTTGATTAAGTTGAATAATTACATGGTGCCAGATACATGTGAAAAAAACGATTAAAAACGCACTTGACAACAGTATGTTGTTTTTGTTAAAGGACAAATGTCTTCTTAACAACAAAGAACTGCCTTTATTAAATGTATTCTTAATTAATAAAAAGCCCGTTTTTCGAAAATGCATTCCAAAGAACATTAAAAGCATCTTCAAAGCACCTTTTTTCTTAAAAACCGTTCTCTTTTATAGACGTTTTGTATGGATATAGAGAACTACTTAAAAGTAAAAACTTAATGAACTTGTTTCTATATTTCTATTTCGAGGATACACATCAAAGACAAAATGTGATTTAATTCTATGTCATAAATTTGTTCGTACTACAATCGGTAGCGTTTACGAATTTCGGTTTCAGCTATAAACAATTGCAGACAATGTATTCTACCTAAAATATGAATTATTTATTAGAAAAAAATTCAAATTAATCAAGAAGAACAGTTTTAGAATATATTTTAATGATAAAAATTACCTCATATCTGAGGCCAATTTGGACACTATGACTAGTTTCGAATAAAAAGGCTGTCGGTAGTTATTACATAGGATTGTTTTTACTATCAGATTATATAGAAAAAAAGCTTTCTTTACGGTTTTTTTTTAATAAGGAATTAAAATGTTTCTGTCATTACTTCTGTGTATGTTCTAAATATTTTATAAATTAATTTTATTTAATAGATACCAATGCGTTCTGGTCCTTACCTTGTATCCGGTGCACGTGATAAGACAATTCGAATGTGGGACGTTACCAATGGATTATGTTTATTTATATTAGTAACTAATGATATTAATTTTTTTAAAGTTTTTTTTGTATTTTTTTATTTAAATTAGACTGGTCATGATAATTGGGTTCGTGGTCTTCTCTTCCATCCAGGTGGAAAATATCTATTGAGTTGTGCAGATGATAAAACTTTACGTGTATGGGATATTAAAAATAGACGAAATACAAAGACTATCGATGCTCACAATCATTTTTGTACTTCACTTGGTAAGAATAAAATTCATTGTCTTGTTTTTTTTTTTTTTTTTTTGTTATCAAACATTTTCTTTTTTTGTCATTTTAGATATGCATCGAAATAAACCGTATGTGATTACCGGCAGTGCCGGCATTGTTGGCACTGCCGGCAGTGTCGGCAGTGTGGATCCATCAATTAAAGTATGGGAATGTCGTTAGTTTTTACTATTTATTTGTATATGCTACTCTTGCAATAGCTCTCTTTTTTTGTTTGTCTGTAGTCATTTATTAAAAAAAATGTGTGAGCGAACAAAAAAAAAACTCTATTTTTGACATATGACCGATAAAAAAAAATGACTACTTTTTCCGTGCTGCTTGTGTATGTCTGTTGGTTTTATTTGTGTGTGCGCACTGTTTGTTTAGGCTCTTGCTCTTTTTTTTTCTGTATGTGTGTGTGTGTGTGTTGATTGGTTATCTTTATTTCTTTTTTTTTGGCTCTATTCACTACTTTTCGCTCAAATACAGTACAGAACTTCGAAAAAAAAAAATAAATAAATATAAAACATTGCACCAAAATGAGATTAAATTGAGAAAAAACAAAATGAGAAAAGAAAAAAAAAATGTTAGTTTAATTCTTTATGTAATAACCAAATGCATGTTTGACCAACACCTGTCATGGAAATAACACGAAAACCAATTTGTTCAAGTTTATCAAGAACAACACGTGCACAATCTTCTGTACGATATTCTGAACTAAAATGAAAAGTCTATAAAAATGTTGCATTAGAAAATTTCACACAATGTTGAATTTATAGTTATATAAACTTTCTCGATATCTTATTTTTTCTCTCTTGTTTTTACAATTTGACAATCACTTATTTAGGTCAATACAGGAAAAAAATCGAAGATATTCGAAACAAAACTATTGTTTCGCCAAATGAAAGAATTATAAACAAAGAACACTATCTATTATTTTTTTCAAAACTATTTATGTAATTTGAACTGAATGAAAATTTCCTGTAGACTGTTCTGTATAATATGCTCAAGTCGCTAGTTTATTTGCACTATCGACTGTATAGAGCACATTATACCCGAACAGTCTACTGAGAATTTCAGTTTAGTTTGAATAACATAGGTGCAATATAAAAGTGATTTTTCCAGTTAGTGGCAAAAAATTGTTAGTATTCCGACAATTAATCGATGCTAGTTTGATACTTAACTGGTTGACTCTCCTCTGACCGTCATTCTATTGCAGTACATGAATAGTTGTTCACCGATCGGTACTGTATTACCAGCATATCATCAATGCTTAAAGACTGTCTAATAAGTTTTGATCTTTTTCGATTAATATTCTTTTCTTTGATGTTTTTTTTTCTTCAGTAGAATAGACTTAAATTTAAAGTATATACACTAGACATCTAGATCTACTCTATACTAAAATTTGAGTTTCCTACTTCGAATATTCACAGAGTTCATAATAATAAAATGATGGAAAAATCTTGACAAATAATTGAAAAAAATTTTTAAGAAATTTTATGCTACTTGTATCTATGATTATAAGAGATAGAAAGCTCAAATCTTATATTGAGTTCTATATTTCGGAAAATATTTCTTCAATTACTATGTAAAATAATATGTACTATGCAAACCAAATTATTAACCACAGTAATCTTAACTTCTAATAATATCATACTTACTAACTGTTACATTTTTCATGAAAAAGTTTTGCTCCTAAATAAGCCATAACTTCTGAATCTGCTCGTTCATCACCTACAATAGTTGGACCTGGTTCAAGACGAATTTTTGTACTTATAAGTAAATGAGGCATATCTGAAAAATAAAAATAACAACACAAAATTCATCTAAATATGTATAAAAATGAATTAATCAAAATAAAGGTTTTTCTTTTTTTAACAATTCAACAAGTTTTTCAAAATTAGGTCGATCTTTTGGATCTTCAGCCCAACATGTTGTCATGATTGTATACATTTTTGGTGGACATTTATCCGGTTGTTTTAGACGTTCACCTAAATCAAATGTATATTTTAGATAATCATTTTCAAAATAAATTTAAAGAAAACAACAACAAGATTTTCTTTTACCGCGTTTAACTGCATCAATAACGAAATGATTAAGTACGATATGTGAATAAGGTGTGTCCGCTTTAGAAAAAACTTCCCAAACAGTTACACCATATGACCAAACATCTGATTTACTTGTATATGGTGCTATTCAAATAGAGAAAAAAGAAAAATAACATAATAATTAATAAATAAACAAACCATTTGAAAATACTTCAACAGCCCACCAACGTATTGGAATTTCTTTAATCTGACAAAAATATTCTTCATCTGATTGTAAACATCTTGATAGACCAAAATCAGCTACTTTTATTCGATTTTTTTTATCAACTAAACAATTACGAGCAGCTAAATCTCTAAAATACAAAAAAAAAAAAAAAGAAAAATTAACATTCATAATCTATTTCTTTTTCTTAAACAACATACCGATGTATAACATTACGTTTTTCTAAATATTCCATTCCTTTAGCAATATCATAACACATTTGAATTAATTGAGGAACACGTACATCATTATTTTTTAAATAATTATTTAAACTTCCCTCTGAATTTCGAAAATTATTATTTTTTTTTCTTAACATAAACGAAAACAAATTTAATATTACATACGTTCAATAAGTTCCATAATAATCATCAGTGGATCACGTATTGCAGCAATACCAAGAAATTTAACAATATTTTTATGTTTATATTGTTGAAGTAAAAGAGCTTCATTTATAAAATTTTTTCGAGCTTGAGCATTTTGAGCTGCTGATGATTCATGGAGAATTTTTACAGCTACAGGTTTACCACGAAATTCACCACGAGCAACTTGACCAAAATGACCCTGTTAATAAAAGTATAAATATAACTAAAAAAAACATTCTAGTTAGTTCAGATGCATTTTACACATCGTTTAAATTCTAAATTATTTTAATATTCAAAGTCATGTCTGATAAAATAACACAAAAAAAAAAAGTATTTTGATAAGATTTCGATAACGGCGAAGAAGTACAAATGAGTCAAATTCTTCAAAGCGATTTATTTTAGAATTAAAAAAAAGAAAAAAAAAAACACTTTTTGCTCATATCATATAAAATAATCAATGTCATAAAGTTTTTCAATCGATATATGGTACTTAATTGAAATATTTTGCAGAGTCCGATGAATCATGTTAAGAGGAAGTTTTCGCCTAATGAAACATTGATTTCGAAATGAGTTGTAATTCATGAAATATACTCTATTGAGATTAGATAAATTCTGAAAGAATTCGTGTTCAGATGTCTATCTTCTCGAGTTATGGTTATTTTAATAAGTTTCTAAACTTAAATGCTGTTCTTCTACCTTCGATGACCTTCAAAATTGACTGTCAAATTGTGTAAGTATCAGATTGTCTAATATTTCTTATGTGAAAATATTAAATATAAGAACAAAACTTACTTTTCCTAACATGTCCAATATACGAACTTCATCATTATTAATTACATAATCTGGTCTTGATATAGGTCGAATTAATCGTGTACCATCATCTCGTAATTCAATTTTTTGTCTTTTATAAAATGAAATTAACTCATGAACAGATGGTTTCGAATATACTTCTGGTTGTAACGAATACATCTGATAAAAAATCATTAAAAAACAAAAACAAATTTTTAAAAACTTTAATAAATTTTTTACTTGATTTCGTTCATGAATTAAAAAATGTCCATCTTTTAATCTACTTGGATTCTCTGGATCAGTCCATAAAATTGATAAAACAACTTTTCCTTGTTCATTTACACGAACTAAATAATCTCCTTTTTCTATTAATTGACTAATACTTTGATTACGTGGTAAAATTCCATGAAAATAAGGTTGATCTTCAAGTCTATCACCTAACTAAAATAATTAATAATAGACAAATAAAAATAAAACAAAATAACTAATCATTTAGATTATTTTACATCTTCATCTGAATCTCCATTTGATTCATCATCGGATCTATATCCAACATTTTTCAATAGTGATTTTAACTCATCTCGTAATCGTTCTTCCCATCCTTTTCTCATTCGTATATTATCAATTGATTGTTTTTGTTCAAATAAATCTTTTCGTCCATCATATAAACTAAATAAAAATAATTTTTATTAAAATGAAAAAGAAAAATTTATTTTTCACTAGCTTTTGTTTATCACGAGTAAAATTAACGATTTTTGGTATAGGTTCATTTATACTCATAGTTAATGTTTGAATTCTAGAAACATAAAAAGAATTATTTCAAATCAAAAAAGAAAACAATTCTTTTTATTTTGAGACTTTTGTTTTATATCTTGTTTTGTTGAACTATCACCAATAAATTGATTGCTTTTTAATTTTGTTAAACCTGATGTTTGAAGAAGTAATTCATTAAATGCTTGAGGATTAATTGTCATTTGAGTAATACTATAGAAATAAATTATTTTAATAAAATAACTCAACATAATTAAACAAAACTACAAACTTTGAATGGATTCTACACATTTCATCATAAAAATGACGTGGATCAAGAGACGATATCATTCTTCGTAATGCTTCCATCGTTGCAGTTGATTCAGAATGTTTATAACTTAAATAATTAATTATAGCTTCGAGTAAACTTTGCCTATTTAATTAAATTTTAATGTTTTGAAAAATGAATTGATATAACTAACCATGATTTATTAATAAGCGATTGTGATTCTTCATGATACATAAGTAAATTTCGAACTTTTTGAATATATTCTTTATCAATAAAATTATATTCTCGAACTTTAAGAATATAATCATTATGTGCACGATATACATTGCCTCGTTTTTCAATAACTACATCTTTTAAATTTTTTATTCGAGTATCATCATTTTTACGAGCATCTAAATCAATGAATAAATATATTAACGGTTAGTTTAGAATCAATATTTAACTTCTTTCGTTTTTCATAGTTTATTTGATGGTAAACACGAATCAACTATACCATCAGAATGAATAGTTTGCCACGTTCTCAGAATTAAATTTTTATGTATCGAAAAATTAAAAAAAAATAATAATGTTTTCCGTTCTATATAAGCTTCTTAAAGAATAACATGTCTTCCGGAGCTATTCTTTATAATCAAAAAACAAAAAAACTACGCGAACATCTGTTGTTGTTGATTTACGGTTGTTTTTGTTATCACATAATTCGCAGTATATCTATTTGTCTATAAACTAAGCAAAAAACAGTATTGTGTTTTTGTGATAAAAATATATTCTTATCAGTATTTTTACATTACTATAGTGTAAAAAAGAAGTAATATTCTCTCAATATGGTTACTCGTGTTTGTTCAAAACAAAAAATTTGTTTTTCTTTGTTCTTCATTTTAACTTTATAGACGAATTCTTATATCATAAGTGATCAAAACGTTTCGTTTCTTTCTAAAAAAAAAAACAACTCACTATTTTGAAGTTTCGTTAATTCATTATTCTTGGTAACATATGCTTTGGATTCATCTAAATAACGTTTTTCAGCATCGGCAACATCACGTTGAGCCTAAATAATTAAAATAATAACAAATTAATTAAAGAAATTATGTTGATAAAAAAAATTCATTCTATTGAGTCTAATAAACATGCGGCTTACCAAAAATAAAAATCTTTTTTCTATTATTTAAATGAAACTTTTCTTTTTAAATATAAAAGAATCAGAGGATTACCTTTCGATGTTCACCATCATATCGACGTTTCTCATCATCTAAAAATTTTTTTGAATCATTTTTTTGTTCAACAAGTCCTTTAAGTAAATCATCCAGTATAGTTGTTCGAAATTGTTCTGCATTTGAACTCATTGTTGTTGCTAAATGAGACCATTGTGAAAAAACTTCTCGAGATACCTTTTGTTTTTAAAAAAAAAGAAGAATAAACTCAATTATAAAATAATACATTCTTATTAATATTTTTCTTTTCTTTTTTACCGATGCAATCGAATTTATATTTACTGGCCATATAACACGATGAGTACTTGTTGTTAAATCTTGAAGATTTTTTGCATATTGTTCATCAAATGAAATTCGTTTTTCAAGAATTTTTTTAATATCTTGTAAAACTTTACATTCATCACTTACAATACCACTCAATAGTCGACAACCTTCATCACTGGAAAAACTATCTGATAATTGATTGATAATATTATGCGATATATAGGGTGATGATAGATGACGATGATTCATTGTTGTTGGTGAATTTGACGCATTTACATATACTTGTGTTCTTTTTTTATATATGTTGCTTTCATGATTTTACTTGTTCCTTTTTTTTTTTCTTTATTTCTTATCGTTATTAAGTCAAATAGGAATGACGGTCCGTTTTGTATTTTATATAAACGAGATGCCAATCGTTTACAAGCTGTTGCAGATGGCATGGCTCGACAAGAGTACGTGAAATATCCGTTTCGCTTTTAAATATATCAATAAACTGATTAGAATCGAAATAGTGTGCAAAATCTTATTATTATTATTTATATTCAATCAAAACAAAACAAAATAGAAAAAAAAGTACAATTTTTAAGTGAACAACAAAAAAAAACGAAATAGATCTCTCTTTGTTTCGTTTATACTTTAAATGTTAACAAGAGAAAGAAAATATATATAAACGAAGTAAATGTATATTTACATAAAAATGTTACTAAAGTGTTTAAAAATAGTCGAATAAGTAGTCTTTTATTTACCAAAATCAATTGAATAGATCAAAGAAGAAATCATGAACAAGAAATATAATCATATTCTTATTGAGATACAATTCAATCTTTAGATATATATAATCCTACACGTCATATTTGATTGAGACGTTGTAGTTTTTTCTTTTTTTGATTTTGTTTTACGTAAGTCTAATGCAGGAAAGAAAACGCCTTAGTTGATTATAATTATAATATTTATGTACGAAAAATTCATTGAAAATTTCAAAGATATTCATAAGTCCACAATGAAATAAATGATATATGATACTGTAAATAATGTTTTTTTTTTATTTCTTCAATAATACCCAACTTTTTTTTTCTTCTATGTCTTTTATAAGAATGAATGCAAATTTAAGTTGAGGTTGAGTTAGTCATATGGATTCAAGTGCAAAAAAAAAAGAAAACTTTATAAAACTTTTATTGAATTTTTATTATCAATTTCATAAAATCTAATCTATAAGAATAATTTATCAAACTATATTTTATCATAATATTCCAATGCATTACTTTAATTATAAGAAAGATGATAATCAATTGATGTTTATCACCTTTCTTTTCAATTATATTCAATAACAAAAACAGCAACAACAAAAAAAAAAAAATACATATATAGGTAAAAACAAACGAAACACTAAAAAGAAAAGACTTGGATGAAACTAATCTAAAATTTTCTATTTCTTTTTAAATATTAAATCTGACACACAGGATTTTAAAAAAATATATATATATTTATATATATTTGAATAACATTAAGATAATGTCATTGAATTAACAATCGCTTGTTTTGGTTCAGCTGTTTTATAAAAAACATTTTTAACAAGTAAACACCGGGGACTTACATATAATGAACTTTTTTCTTTAAATTGTTTAAATAATTTAATATCAGGTAAAAATCTTCTTAATGTAAATACTTTTGTATCTTCATGTAAATCAATTTCAATTTCAAATATTGTTTTTTGTTTTGAATTTATTCTTATTATTGGTAAATATTTTACTATTGTTGATTTCATATTTGATGATAATAATGTTAATTTTATTTTTATTTGTGCACCCATAATACCAAATGGTTCTTCAGCTGACATAATTAAACATTGTTGAGCAATATTTCGAATATGATTACATGGAAGAAATAAATTATTACATGATAAATGTTTTATTTTACTTTCACGTAATGTTGTTAATAAATGTTTTGATATTAATGTAATATGTTCTTCACGTAAATCAATTTCAGGATCATATATAAATGTTGATTGTTGATGAACTGAATTCATTGTTGCCATCGAATCTAAAATATAGTTGAATTGGTCTTGAAAACTATTTTTTTTTTTAGATTTACTAGATTCACTCTGTATAGTGTGTTGAGAAAATGAAACCTTATTGAGGTTAAATTGTTAAAACAGTATGTTGCTCACTGGTTATTGTTGCTCTTGCCTTCTCTTTCTCTTTTTTTTTCTCTGCCTTGATTGGCATCGAAATCGTTCGTGTATAGTACACTTTTTCCTCTTCTTATTCAACAAACGGTCTCATCCAGGCTTAGTCAACAATCTATAATCGAACGATCTTTTCAAGTATACATATGCAAACTCGTTTTTTCGTTTTCTTTCTTTTTTTCCTTCTTCTTCTTCTTCTTTTTATTATTATTATTTTTTTTCTTCTAAATATAAAAAGTTACATTATTTCACATCGATGAATATTGATAAGGTTACGTGCAATCTATAACATACACCTGTTCACGACTATAAGCTCTTTTTACTCTTTCAACTTCAAAATGACAACTTTGTTTTTTTCATTATCGAACGGCTTTTTATTGACAAAAAAAAAAGATCATCAAACAAATGTTTATTGATCTCTTCTCGTCAATTTGATGGATGGATCAAACAGACAAAGCGATATACATATCGAACGATGGTGTACAATTGCTATTAAGAAAACAAATCCGCTCTTTCTATATGTATACAGACGTGTGGTCTAGATCGTTTTTCTCTTCTTGCGTTTTTTTTTTCTAACGCTTTGCCGATGATCGATATTTGCTAACGCATACACATATGCACACACACATATATATATATATATATATACTCAATGCCGCTGTGGTTTTATATTAATAAGATCGACAGAAGAAGTAAAAGACATTGTGGACACTAAGACAACAGAGAGAAATATTTGATAGAAACAAATATTAAAGCTACCGTCACGACAACACAACATAGGCGACAATGACGGGATTGTGTGTTTGTTAACTATTGATAATGAAATTTACTTTTTTTTTTTTCTGTATTATTGAAGTATTGCAGTAATAGAATTAGCAAACAGCAAAAAGAAAAAAGTCAAGATGAATAGAATAGTCTGCTAGTTACTTATACATGCAAATATATATATATATATATATATATATTATTTGAAAGAAGAAAAAGAAAACGTCAATTGCTTACCTTGTTTCTTAGTCATTGTTGTTGATTTAAAAATTTGTTTAAAAATACGAATAACTCGTTTTTTACATTTTTCTATCCAAGATGAATTTGTTGGCATATGTTGATTAAGTCTATAAATATTTATTGAATCATTAATATCATTCATTTTTATTGTTGATAAATGTCTTTGTTCATCATATTTTGAATTAATACATGAATTTTCATTTATGAAATAAGAAACATTGTTTTCAAAAGTTATTATAGAAGAATAATTTATGGTTAACATTGCGTGTGTGTATGTTTCTTTTTATTGATAAGTGTTATTGATAGAATGGAATATGTAGTCTGAAAAAGTACAGATGAAAATGAGTAAAAAGAACGGAATAGAATTAGTGTGGTTTATGCTGCAGGCTAAAGAGAGCGGTAACTGTATGATTCTTTTAAAACATTCACAGAGTACAGTTAACCTTTTAAGGTAGTAAAAAAACCACCAAGGCGATGTAAAAGTTTTTTTGACCTTTCTGCATATGTCTTTTTTATCTAATCGATCATCTGAAGTAAATCTACAATAGCTGGTAGATTCTTTTGTTTTTCAAACGACATAACTTAGACAAACGTGCCTTTAAATTCTAATGAATAGAAATTCTATATTTGGTACTAAAAAAAGAAACCATTTCAAATGGTTACTATGCCATAGATTGTCTACTAACGGCATGCATTGAGACAAATATGAATAGATAAAGAATATTGCCGTCATCACGTTTACAAAATGTCTGCATTTCTTTTTTTTTTTTTTTTTTCTTTCAATGAAAAAGATTTATTACCATTTTAAGTACCAATATATTCAGCATCAATAACCATTTTTGTAAGTTGTTCAATATGGCCTTGTTTCATCGGATATACACGTCGAGCATCATTGACGCCATATACATACTAATGCATGTCAGCGGGACATTTCTCAATAAACAATCCTACTATTCGATTCCATGGTATCCGATTTGCTTTTGTCTTTTTCTATCCACATCAATGACTTTCTTTCTATTTATCCTACTTTACATCAATTTTCTTCTATACCCAGTCCATTACTACACATAGTCTTTGTAGTATAATAAAACATAGAAAAAAAAAAAAAGAAATGCACAGAGACGGAGTGTAAGTGACATTTAGAGATGTGCAGTGTGCATCATCATTTGAAGGTATATTTTTTTTAAATTCCTATCAATATCATGATAGCCTTCACTCTATCATCACCTAACATACATACCTACAGAATGTGATATTAATCAATATATTACCTACATTTACGAGTCAAACGAAAAAGAAACATCATATTCAATAAATACAAAGGTCTTTTAATGATCACAAAATGATAGTTATAAAATAAAAAGCAAAAAAAAAAAAAAAAAAAAACTACGAAAGAGACTTTTTTCTTACGACAGAATTGCTGCCGATGTATATACTATTGATTATATACATATATAAAGATGGAAGAAATGTCGTATCGTTGAGTTCTTTTCTTCGTTCATTCTCTTGCCTTTCTCGTTCTTGTACCCACTGAACTCTATATCGCTATACCACTGTTCTTTTACATCGACCAACAAATTAACATATGTGTTTGCGTCTTGTTCGCTTTTTTGTATGCACAGTGAAAGTAAATCAGCTGTTTCATATGGTATGCATTTGATTCTCATCTGGTCGACATTGAAGAAAGAAAGAAAAAAGAAAAAGAAAAAGAAAGAGAGAGAGTGAAAAAGAAAAACTCATATATAGTGATTGTCAATATTTATTGGTAGCATAATAACAACAGTAAATATTAATTTCTTGATGTCTGTTAGTTCGTTTATTGTTTTGTTTTTATTGCTTCTATCGGAAGACCGGTAAAACCGTGTCTATATAGATTCACATAAAAAATGAACATATGTATGTGTAGAATATACCGTTACAAAACAACACATTTTAACACATAAATATAAGAAATAAAACAAATGCTTATGAGAATGGCAAATGATACAATACAGACAAACAAAATGGCAGGTCATCACAACAACAAAAATAGATAATAGAAATAGAAATGAAATTTTGTTTTTATCTTGATTAATATTAATAATTTTTTTTGTTTTTGTGACTTTACTTTCTATAACAACAGTAATGGCTTGATAATGGATCATTCTCACAGTTAAAAGAAGAAAAAAAAAAAAAAACCCACACAAGCATATGTTGTCATCTGACTTGACAACGAGTAGATCGGAAAAAAAAAACAACAAACAAACAAACAAACAAACAAACATGATTTGCCTATAAATATAAATGAGACTACACGAATAAATATTGCCTACATTGAAGTAAAAAAAACGAAGGAAAAAAGAAATAAGACTCATAATTTATATTATATGTCCTTTTCGTTGAATACTTGTTTGATTATGTATCCACAATAGCCCGTTTTGGTTCAGCTGTTTTATAAAAAACATTTTTAACAAGTAAACACCGGGGACTTACATATAATGAACTTTTTTCTTTAAATTGTTTAAATAATTTAATATCAGGTAAAAATCTTCTTAATGTAAATACTTTTGTATCTTCATGTAAATCAATTTCAATTTCAAATATTGTTTTTTGTTTTGAATTTATTCTTATTATTGGTAAATATTTTACTATTGTTGATTTCATATTTGATGATAATAATGTTAATTTTATTTTTATTTGTGCACCCATAATACCAAATGGTTCTTCAGCTGACATAATTAAACATTGTTGAGCAATATTTCGAATATGATTACATGGAAGAAATAAATTATTACATGATAAATGTTTTATTTTACTTTCACGTAATGTTGTTAATAAATGTTTTGATATTAATGTAATATGTTCTTCACGTAAATCAATTTCAGGATCATATATAAATGTTGATTGTTGAAGTTCATTTTGTTTATAATCTTTATCATTTGAATTTGTTTTAAATAAATTCATAAGATTTATTTTAAATTTTTCAATTATATTGGAATTATTATCTCGTATAGATATATATGAATTATTTCTTGAATTAAAATAATAATGTAATGTATTTGTTGATGAACTATATTTTTTATTTACTAATGAATTTGTTCTTGAAGATAATGTATCTTGTGTTGGACATGATGCGTTACGTGTAAATTGATTCGTTGACAATGTTAAAGATGGCATTATTCAATCTAAAATTTCATATTCAAATATATTTATATATACATATTCGAGTTTCTTTTCTTTTTTTCTTTTTTCTTTTTTTTGTACTTAATAGATAGTAAAAGATATTATAGTTATAGATAACTAGAGAAAAGTACCTGGAGAGGTTATCTCTATCTGTATGAATGTCACCGAAAAGGATGTTGAGTTGTATGATAGTGGAGTGTCGTCGTCGTCGTCTCACACTCGCTCTGAACTAGAAATGCATTGTAGAGAAGCCGTTACTCTTTTTCTCTCTTTTTCTATTCTCTCTCTCGTTCTCTCTCGCTCGCTCTTTTCTCTGACTGTGTGGTGGTTACATACATTTCTCTTTTTCTCTCTTCATCTACTATTCCTGTTTAACACAGCTGATTTTCGATGAAACTAAAGAAGTACAAACCATATATAAATATATCGAGCCGGTTCGTTCTTTTTCTTCTTCTGTTTACTTTCTATGCAAAGAGGAAAACAGCTGCTTGTCATATCTAATGATTGGTTGTATTTTGACAACTTCATCTGATAGAGAAAAAGAAAAAGAGAAGAATACAAAAAAAAAAAAGGAAAAAAATCTCTCGTTTTTTTCTTCTTTCTGTACTTCTCGTGTCTCGTTCAATGCTTGAGGGTGTGGTGTATGCTGTTCACGATAATGATGTGAATTCGGCATAAAAGATTTCTCGATTGTGTGTATGTACGTTACATTGGATGAACGAAAGCCCACGGCTATCGATCACACATGTGTTGTGAAGTGTTCATCATTAAAAACAGCAAAAAAAAAACAAAACAAAAAAGCTTCTCTTTTTTTTTTTTGCTCCTACTTATTTTCTTTTTATTCGATATTTGTTTCAATTGAGACACAAAAAAAGAAACTCATTATCACTCTTTTCATACAAATAACAGACGACGAGAACAATAGCAGCTGATATAAAACATATTTTTTGACAAAGAACAAATTGATCTTCTCAGCTGGTTATTGTAATATAAAAATAAAACCATTAATAGTCTATTGAATCAATTTATAAACATTAGACTCTGCAAATGATGACTAGTATTATTGTTTTGTTTTTTTTTTCTTTTTAGTCAATGATCTGATTTTATTCATATCTCAAATGAATTCACCCGAGTAAAGAATACGTGCTGACTTGCTATTCAATTACTTGTAGTATTTCTTATCAAATTCATCATTGTCTGTTTACTAATGATTCCCTTTGAAAATAGACGTATATATATATTTGTAGGGAACAAACCTACCACCTGTCATTATTATACAGGTTAATTACTGATTGACAGAGAGAGAGAAGGAAAAAAGCATTTTTTTTTCTACACGATCAGCATAGTAGTTTTTATCAATATATATACGTACGATAGTAATAAAAAAGAATAGAGTGTTGACAAAATTATTTTTACAGTTTTTTCTTTTGCAAATATGCTCGAAGAAATAATATTAATGATTTAGATAAACATATGGAAATGAGATTTTTTCTTTTCTTGATTAATTTTCGATTGAAGAATAGTTAATCAAATAAAGATCGTATTGACATGAAAGAAAATGTATAAGGTGAATATTGTGTTTGGTAGTTTTTTCTTTTTCGTTTTTACATTGAACATATATATTAAAGAACATATCACCTATTCAATATCATGATAACAACGAGAAAGAAAGAGATCCCATAAGCCTACTGTTATTGTTATGGTGGGTTTTTCAAACAATTGATATTTACTAACATTCTTTTTCTATTGCATATATTCTCATCAGTTGGTCAGCAATCGTTAATCCACTCTCAACTACGATCTATATATATATATATATATACATGTCAATAGTTCAATAATTTCATTTCTCTGCATGACGCCAGCTGTCAACTGAAAAACAAATAGCTGTTTGAATTCACTTGTGGATTTAATGCATCATCAATCACCTTCGAGTTCTTTCTATTCATATATCAATGGAAATGCAATAATTTTAATACCATTTATAAATATATAAAAGTCTATTGAGACAGACAACTTTTTTTTTTTTTAATGATTAGATCTTATCAAAAAACCAAATGATGCTTACTTAAATTATATTGATATATGCAAGAAAATCGGTATACTCTACAATCATCCGATCATGAGCATAAAAGAGAAAGAATTAATTCATATTTGCATATTTGACACAATCATCAAACACATACACATTGGCACTTATGAAGGGAGTGGTCCTTTGTCGGAATATGGTCTATATACTTTCTGTCGGTCACAGTATGAACACTAAAAGAATAAAAAAGAAGGGGACTCAAAACTAAAGACAAAAATATGAATATGTCGAACAAAAAAAAAGAAGAAAATCATCGTTTTGGTTCATTTCATTCTACGGAAGTATTAATCAACAATGCATGATAGTCTATCTATCGGAAGGATATATCAATGTAATTCTAGATTTATTTTTTTCATTTAGTTGACACATTCAGGAAATACGCTTCGTATTTATAAAAAAAAAAAAAAAAAAGAAGAAGCAGAAGATCTGTTAACATGAAATGTATTCATTTTCTTGTAATATATAGAATGTTCGTGCTCGAAATTTTCTTTTTTTGATCTTGATTTACTCAACAAATGAAATAGTTCAAAGCACGCGAATGTATATTATAATAGTTTATATAAAGAAAAAACAAAAGCATCAAATGATATTTTGTTGATGATTTACTTGAAAGAAACAAAAAAAAAAAAATTAATGTTGATTAGTTTCCTTTTTTCTTCTTCTTTTATTGACATCGCCAAAAACAAAAAGAAAAGACAGATGGACTTTTATAAGAGGAGATATCAACTCAATATTTCACATCTGCTTCATTGACAAATAAGAATGGATAAATACATTTTTGATCCCGGAAATTAAGCACAATTGATCCCGGTTATAAATTTTCAAAAGAAAATGCGAAAATGATACCGATTTTTTAAATAATTTTTAATTACTTATATAATAACACAAGTGATCCCGGAAAAAGCTATTTTTTTCTCGAATAACATAATTGATCCCGGAATATTAGCAAGTTATGGCACCGTCTTCCAATCTGAGACTCATCGAGNGCTTCATTGCCCAGCGCACGGGGAACGACATAAATAGACAAACAGTCCTTGACTGTATCACCCCCCCCCCCCCCCCCCCAAATCCAGCGTCAAAGCTCACTAAGCCATTTTCATCGATTGTTCATTCGTTTGGAGATGCTTGAAACCTACATAAATCCGATGTATAATTTTACGGGATCTCAATTGAACATTAAGTTATATCGTTAGAGGCAACAAGCGTACTTCTTCATTAAGATCGATCCGATAAGTGAAATCTTTGATCATACATATCCGCAAAAAAAATTCTCAAAAGAACTCATGAAGATGCAATAACTACTATCATCTTATTATTAGACAAACAATATTTTTCGTTTGTTTTTTCTCATTGTGGATCATTTTACAGAAAGTGAATTTACACTGGGAATAAACGCTCGACTCTCGAGATCATTTATCAGGACCGAACAAAGCATTCATCACATAGTCTCTTTAATTCTGTATCGGCTGATATAATTTTGATATTTCTGCAAACGAATGAAGAGTACCTGTAGAGGATTTAGTGAGATTTAGTATTAGATTTCGAGAGATTCTGGCTAGCTTTTGACTATTTTCATACGGACGATTCGTTTACAGCGAGAGAATGACCAATGAAATTGAAGTTCTCAAAATTTTGTATCAATTGATGTAGGTTCTGTGCCCGATCAACCGAATGAAAAGATGCTGCAATAGATTTTGACAAATTCTAGATGTTTGGGACGATTTTCATGTATACTATTCGTTTGCCATGAGAGAACAAGATGTTCATTAGGTAGTCGATAAAATTTCGCATCGATTGACATATGTTTGATGCTCCGAGAAACGGATGAGATGGCATTATCACGCATTCAGAAAATTGCTATTTCTCGTGAAAACTTGTCCTAACCGATAAGGTACGCGCTCTACGCTAAATTTTTATTGGCTTTCATAAGATAACCAATAGAATGCTTATCATGATCATGGTGATGCACAGTGTTTCTAATGGCAAGTGTACACTGCAGAAGCAAAATGTACAAACCTCTGCAACTATAAACATACACGCTGCTGTACACTTTGCTTTAAAAACAGCGTGTACACTTTTCTGGAAAATTTTATAATATATCTTAGTTTTTACTAGAACTTTTTCTTTTTTTTTGATTTTTCGCTTCACTTCGGTAATGGAAATGATTGTGCACATTTTGCTGTACACTTTACTTATTCAAAACAGCGTGTACTATACATTTTGTTTTAGAATTCCATTAGAAACACTGGTGATGCATCATGTTCTGATAGCTTCACTTTGCTAAAGTAACTTCCGTTTTGATCATGAGAAAATGTCAAAGAAGTTTGCACAGCAAGAACCAAGTTATTCAATCAATTATTTATCGAATTGAATAAAAATTTTAATAATATTTCGTGAAAAACAACACGAAGATCTATCAAGACTATGTTTCAACCAATCTTTCGGTCATACTTTTGACTATGTTCTTTAGTCATTATCATTTTGTTATTCTTATAATGTCTTTTCGAAAAAAAAGTCATACTTGTACGGCTCGGATTATTCTCATAGTTTATTGTAGATTGAATAAAGCTTATATTTAGAATTAATATTGTTTCAACAAGAAGTGTCAATGGCGACTTTTTCTCTTCTTAGTTTGCCTCTCGAGATGATTTATCATATTCTTGATCATTGTGATTTACAAGCAATTCTTCGTATAGTTCGTCCTGTTTGCAAACAACTTCATAGCATTGTCGATAGTTATGAAAGATTCACAGTTAATCCAGATGTACGTGTCAGTTGTAGAGACCGTCGGGTTGGTCCCGAACTCGGACCCGGTCAGGTCCGGGTTGGGTCCGGGTTCAAAACGTTTCTGTTAACCGGGTCCAAGTACGGATCCGGGCCCGGAAATTTTCTATAAACCGGGACTGGATCCGGAACCGGGTCCAAAGGAATTTTTGCTGCATATTCGAATACTTTTTGAAGCTTTAATTGTCTTCAGTTTTCTTCTGAAAAGTAATCTTTAGTTTATTTATGAAAAAATAGCAGAAAAACAATAAAAAACTTTTCTAGATTAAAATATCTATATTTGACTAGCGTGATAAATCTATAATACAAATGATATTTCATCTGACTTTGTACTATTTTCTATGGTACTATCAATGCCATGCGAAAAATAATCAAGATCATTGGTTTCATTAGTTTTTTTTGTTCTTTTTGTTTTTGATGATGAAAACAAACTGTTTGTGTGTTCACTGACTTGAGTTTCTTCATCATCTGATATATATGATTTTCATTTTGGTTGTTCTTTAAGTTTTATTGATGCAACACCATTCATTCGTTGTAAAGAAAGTAAATTCTTCTGAAGAAATAAAAGCTTGTTTAGCTTTTTAGCAGCTAAACTAGTTCTACGATCAGTAACAGTACTTTTTGATGATGAAAATAGTCTCTCAACACCGGTATCTGAAGCGGGTATAGAAAACAGATCACGTACAATTGATGATAATATTGGAAATAATTCGGCATTTTCTTTCCAAAATAAAAGTATATCACCATTTTCATGAAATTGTGTATCTAAAGCCATATAGTTATCTAATTCATTTAATGGAGTTAAAACTGGTTTTGAAATAACTTTTGGTTGATCAAAACAAAGAGTCAATAAACCATTTGATGTAGCAAGTTTTGTTGTTTCAAATGTAACTGATGAGTTTTCCACTACTGGCTTTGAATCAGCACTAGCAACATCAACTGATTGTGGTGGTGCACGTTTTAATAGTTCTTGTTTTACTAATGATATTGCTTTGGATTTTTCATTCGGTGAAATTTGGAAATGTTTCAATGAAGAATGAAGTAGTGTAGACATATAATGTTGATCTTGAAGAATCCAAACTAATTTAATTCGTTGTGCTGAAAACATGAAAGAATCAATGCTATTATTGAAATCTTGATCAAAATTAGACCTCTGACAGTATATCAAAGAACTGAACTTGTGCCAGTCACCCAGTTCGATTACAACGAATGAGGATTTGGGAACAGTTCGTTCTTTTAAGAAACTTGAACTAATGACTAGTTCTTTTTTTAGCAACGATAACAAGTGTTGAGTAGTTTTCCAGGATCCTCATTATTGATAGGCCAGTCCATTTGAAAAGAACTGGCTACTAGATCCAGATCTAAAAGAGACCTGATCATTGGGCTCTGTACTTGCAAAAGAACCGGGACAGGAAACTGTTAGCTGCTACAGGCATAGTCAACACCTCGCTTTGAACTTCAGAAAATACAAACTAAACGCCTTTCCAAAATATTCTTCTAGAGACAAGTATTCTGAGCTTTTCTACAGTCATGTCAAAGTAGCCCAGCTCGAAGTAAATCGTAAAGTCAATCTAAGTGTTGACTTACCAAGAAAAAATTTTAATTCTTTAAGTCCATCACTATCATCACATTTAATTTCACAATGATTAAGTAATAACTGTCGAATAGGTATAACTTTGTATATAGTTGGTTTTTCTTCATCACTTAATTCATCAATAGCTTGGTCAAATAGTTTCAGAAAATCACATAATTCTTCTAATAAATCTTTATCAATTGCTGTTAAATAATCGATCAAATCATTATTTACAACACCTGGTAATTCATCATAAACATCGAGAAAAACTTCCAACATGTAAAACACACCATTAAAGCGGGTATCCGAATACAACTGTAATTTTCTTTTCAGTTTTATCTGTCGATAAGATCGTCGTACATATGTAGCAATCGTTCTTACATATCGAAAAAGATTTTGAGCATTTTTACAGTCAACTGGTTTTTTATCAAGTTCAGTTGATGTGAAACTATGCTCTAATTGTTTGTTGACGAAGTGAATAGAGCAGCCTATTCGAGTACATTTTTCTTTAAATGCAGATCGCATTTTCTTTTCGTTGTCGGTGACTACGAAAATTGAATCATTTAAAATTAAACCATATGATAACAATCGTGAGTCAACAAATGTACGAATATTATTGGCCGATGGCAATTCTGCATCATATAATACACAATCTAGAACAAAATTTTGTAATTGATAATCTTCTGTAACATGACTTAGTGCTAAGCCACAATACGAGAGTCCTAAATATAAGAAAACCCATCAAAGTTTGTTTTATAAAATATCCTCTTTAGATGTTTATCATGTGAAGGATTCAAAATCGAAGCTTACCGGTGAATCTTTCAGTCCAAAAATCACAAACTACAGAATAACTTGACATGTTCATACATAGATTTGCTAATTGAAGCTTTTTTTCCTCATATAAACGATCGATGTCGCGACTGATCTACCACAAGAAAAAGACAAGTGAGAAATAATATTGATCTGTATAAAAAGAAAATGTTTATTTACTGTAATAGGAGATGGAATAAGACCTTTAATGTTCACGCTTGACAAATGACTCACAGGTCGACCAGCATCAAAAACCGATTGAGCCAGTTTCAAAAAACCTTCACCACGAACTAATTCAAACGCTCGACAATCTAAAGCCGTAAACTCTGTGCAAGCTGCTTTGACTTTTTCTTTGATCCTTTTTGGAATATTTAATGTTGATGTTGATGAATAATATTCAGTAACCTTTGCTTGTTGACTGGAACAGCTATTCGAACTTGTTGTACTACCTTGACATGAACGTAAATGTTTCATCATACATGTTGTACCATCTCTCTGTCGATACACTAACAAGTATCTACAATTGTCACAAATAACCAACTCTTGTTGTACACTGTTCACGAAAACAATACTAAATTGCTTCCATACTGGCGATGATTTCGATGTCTTTTTTGGTTTTTGAATTGTAATTGATCTATCATTTTGTTTGATTAAAGTAGCAACATCATTTTTCTTGCACGACATATTCGATTTACTGTATTTTACTAACTTTTTTTAAATATTGTTTAATGACAAACGACTCACACGTAACTAATAATCAAATATATATTAAATACAAGGCAAACCATTTAACTGTTCCCATTGAATAATGAAAGAACCTCAAAATAACGAATCACCGAATAAATGTTAAACAAAAAAACAAAACATATAATTGTTTTGATTTAATAATCAAATAAGCTAAACATATTCAAAAACTAAATGAATATTAAATGAAAGAGAAAACGTACCTTGGTTTGGATTGATGATATATAAGGAAGATGCAACTAATAATTGAATAAAAGTTGAATGGCAGACAAAATATACGTGTTTTTTTAATTTTTAATGAACAAGCGAAAGGTTACTGTTAATAAAATAGATGTTAAACAAAAGACAAAAAATGCAATTGTTTTAATGTATTTGTTTGTTCCCTCTGAACCGATTGGATCGGAGCATTAGCCAACGATAATTAATTTATAATAAGACACGATTACGAATATCTTGGAAATGTGTAGTGCGTGTTGGTCATCGAATACAAAAAATTCAAAAGAAACGTGATCTATCTTTCAAGTTGAGAATTTCATTGTTAGTATGAAAATACGTTTTGACCGGGTCCGGGTGCGGATACGAAAAACATTATATAAACCGGGTTCGGGTCGGGAATCGGGTCCAAAAATGTTGGACCCGACGGGCTCTAGTCAGTTGTCAATGGAAATTCATCGCAGGCCATATACGACTGGAAAGGATTGTTTCACTGAAGCTCTGCAATGACAAGAGCACCTCAGATTTTATGTCTGTTTTTGTCTCATGCTTTGATACTCAACAATTTTTACGCTTACGTTCATTGACTTTTCATCATTTTACAAGCGAGAAAATAATTGAATTACTACAGTGTATCAACATTAAATCATTGTATGGGCTTTGAATCAAATTTTTAATCAATTTCAATGAGGCGATTGGCATGATGAGTCCTTATTGGTTTGTACCATTTCATGATGATCCTTCTAGAACGTCTTCAAAATCGTTTTCTGACATAATCACATACATATCCTCTAGTCAGTGTAGATTAAAATATCTCAATATTGATACTTGCGACTATAAGCAATATCATTTTATTCTCCATCAACTACCTTATTTACAAACATTGACAATTGAAAATGTCAGAATGAATGATATTGATCGTACATTTTCTATCAGCTGTTCAATTCATCATTGACATCATTGAATATCAACAATTTTTCGTTAGGTGCAACAGACTGAATTATTACTTCTTCTAACTCCTGGACTTCATTACCTTAAGCTAGTGTCCGTTCCGGTAATTTTCGATTTTGTCTTCGACGGCAGCTATTGGGAGCAATTGATTAGGACAAAGCTACGTCTGTTAAAAAAAATCGAATTTTTCTTCTCCCATATGCATTGTCATGTCCGTGATTTCATTTGCCTCGACTCAATTATTGCTTCATTTACAGCACCTTTCTGGCCGCAAGAGACGCATTGGTTTGTTACCTGCAATTATGGTTTGTTGTCATCTGAGCTCAGGCTTTTTACAATACCAGTCTGTGTTTCTAATGTCAAAAGTTCAATCGGATGTCAAGTATCATCGACAGACAGCGTGTATCATCTGATAAAGGAGCCAATGAATGATATGATTGTTACTGATTCAAATGCGGTATGTCGGAAGTTTTGATTGATGTATACAAGTAAATCTTTCGATAAAAGAAATTTGATTTGATTTGATTTTATCTTACTGAAATCGTCAGCCTACCTAATCGAAACAACAAACGATACTGTATGATGAATCACTGATTTTTAATATAGAAGTCACAGTCACTTATCAACCAACGTATTTCCTATAATAGTATCGATAGTCGATTAACATGTATTTTCGGAAGTTATTATTAATATCTATACAGAAAAATAAGATAATGATGAACGAGAGTCGAATACAACTCTATGAATGATTCAGTTGTGTTTAATATATTTTCGAGTAGATCGCCACTAGAATATCTACCAAAAAGCGCGAAACAGAGTATTCTGGCATTTTTTTTCTACACAAATCTGTCTTTTTACTGATTGTAAAGAGACAATTAAAATACGCAAAGAGAATTTTCTTTCTTGCTCGTTACACTTGCACGCGTTTTATTATGGCTTTATTTCATTAACATATATAATTAATTTTGTCTTCTGAATTTTTATAAGCTCTGAAGTGGAAATATTTTAACTCATTATCATGAGTACTTAGAGAACAGAAAATAAAGATATGCATTATGCGTCCATAGAAATTAATATACAAGTCGTTTCATTATTTTTTATAAGAAAAACTAGAGAAAAAAGCTAAAAGTTGTACATCTAAATATTCACACGTATCATTCATCTAAACTTGAACAAAAGTTATAAGAACGTTGATTAATCCATCATTGTGATATTTTTCAACGAGCTCTCTATTCGAGTGTCAGTCGATGATACTTGTGATTACTTAGATATACAGCTTACTCTTAAAGGAAGTAGCGAGACGACTCACAGTATTATCTATTCGAACATCAGCATATAGAGTATGAATTCTAAATAATGGAATAAGCTATGAGAATGAGTCAATAAAATCTTTTTATCTCAGAGTTTATGAAAAACTCGGCAGTCTATTTGAGAAAAAGTAATTAAGATTTCATTGATGTCTTTTCTTCTGTTAACTGCAAAATAAATAATGCTATGAATACTTTAAGATAATTAGTTAGTTGATTTTGGTAATCAGTTATGTTGAATTCTTTCAGTATTTATATTAAATTCTCTTCTTATCAATACATAGACACTCACCAAAGTAAATCTTGAAAACAAAAACATAGGAGACCTCGGCGCAATAATTCTCTCGAATGCATTACAGACTGACAAAGTAATCGTTAACATGTCTTTCTCATTTTCATGACTTTTTTTGTCATTGTTGGCAGTCAATTACCCAATTATACCTTGGATCAAATCAAATCACAGTTATTGCGACACAATGTCTTGCTGATGTCTTACGAAATAATACCGTAAATATCTACTACAATTTTATTTACGAGTCTTTTTGTCTTCATAAAGATGCTCACCATCCTTGATCTACGAGACAATCATATCGACGACACTGGAGTACGATATCTTGCTGATGCATTACAAAATAACACGGTAAAGTTCACTTTATATTCATATTTATTATGCAATCTGCGCATTGTTATGTAGGCACTTACTGTATTGAATCTTAAAGGAAATCAAATAAAAGAACAAGGCTCACAGTATATCGCAAATGTCTTACGAAAGATCCAAGTGAGTTTCATTCGTTATACATTCTTTCCATAACTATATTTTTCTCCAAGCAGACACTGACTATGCTAAATCTTGCGTGTAATCATATTATTGATATAGGAGCACGATGTATTGCCGATGCATTAAGAAACAACTCAGTGATTTTCATTTCGTTTACCATGACAACGATACAATTTTTTTTCTATATGTTAATAGACACTTGTTGTCCTCAATCTTCAAACAAATGAAATTGCAGATAATGGAGCCGAATGTCTTGCTGATGCATTGCGCACTAATTCAGTAACTTTCACTGTTGCCCTGTTGTTCTCATGATCATTTGTTTTTCAAAAAGACATTGACTGAGCTCAATCTTGGAAGAAATCTTATTGCAGATATAGGAATAAAATATGTCGCTGATGCATTAAAAAATAATACAGTAAATTTCATCCTTTGGACTACGATGATGATGATACTAATATTGTTATTTGTCTACAGGCACTTGTTGTTCTAGACCTTCAAGAAAATCAAATTGCAGACGATGGAATTCAACTTCTTGCAAATGCATTACAAAATAATTCAGTAAACTTCATTATCTTACCAACATCATTATGTCGATCTCCTCAATCATATATAGGCACTCACGACGCTCAATCTTCGAAATAATCGTATCGGAGATAGAGGCGCATGTTTTCTTGCCAGTGGCTTGTTCAATAACAAGGTTAGTATTTTCTCTTCATTGATTTTATAATTATGGTCATCTTTCAATAAGACTCTCAGTACATTGTATCTCGGCTTGAACCAAATTGGAAATAATGGTGCTCGTCACTTGTTCGATACTCTACAAAATAATATGGTGATTCTTATCTTATACATGTAGTTCTCATATTAATTGTATTGTCTCAATACAGACACTCATCAAACTGGAGCTGATTTATAATCAGAAAGGCTTTTGTGCTGTTCTTGGTGCAGTGCTCCAACTCGAAAACGATAAAGTAATTTAGATATCTTTTTTTTATTCACGCACAATAATATTTTTTATAAAAAATAGACGTTTACTGAACTAAATCTTCAATCGAGTCACATCGAACGAAAATGTTTCGAATATCTTATAGCTGTCTTAAGACATAACAATGTAAACGTTGAGTTTTTGTTCATGATGGCCATATCCATCTTTGTGCTTTTCTTTCTAAAGACAATAAAAATTCTGGATCTTGGAGACAATCGAATTGGTGATTATGAGACACAGCTTTTCTCTGGTGTGCTACAAGATAATTCAGTTTGATTTGTTCGATTTGGAGTTGTCTAATCTTCATCTTTATCTATATATATATAGACACTCATTGTGCTTGGTCTTCAGCGTAATGAAATCAAAGATCATGGTGCGCAATATCTCGCTCATATACTACGAAATAATCATGTAAAATTCACTGTTTTTCTTATTTTAAATATTTCTGTTTCATTTTCAAAAGACACTAACTGCTATTAACCTTAGCAAGAATCAGATCGGAGACAAAGGCATAATCAGTCTCGGCGATGCAATAAATAACAATACGGTGATACCCATTTCCTTTTCTTATGTCTTATTCGCATTGTAACTTTTACATACAGGTACTTGTCACATTAGACTTGTGGGAAAATTTGGTCAGCGACGATCTTGTTGCGAAGTTAACAAAGAAAGACTGGCGAATCATTCTTTCAGCATTCGATTAACAAAACTATTGTAAAATATTATTTTATATGACTTATTCAACATTTTTGTATTCATAATCAAGGAAAATAAAAAATTGCCGTTCTTAATCTGAATATTGCTGCTCGTATATCTACTGAACATAGACGCTCAAAATGGAGCATTATCGCCTTCGAAATCGATAATTTCAGCACATATCTTCAAGAAAAATAGCTCTATTGTATATTTTCGTTGACGAATGAAACAGTCAAATTTTGAACGTTTCGATATGGTTCAAAAGATCGAATAGACCCTTATATTCATCTACACTCACACGCTTGATCAAAGCTATTCAGCTATTGACAACAAAATAAACCAATTCATTGAACGATTCCAAAATTGAAAAAAAAAGATGACTATTAATCGTTAAGATCATGCGTTCATTTCATTTGGAGTTTCATTATGAAAATTGCCATTAAAATGAGTTCTTGTCCAGTAACTTCTTCAACATTCAAATTATAACAACAATAAATGAGTTCAACTACAGTTACGTGCTTTTTTCAAATCATTCAGATTAACAATTGCGTCATAATTTTAGATTGATGGAATTAAGTCTTTTTCGAAATAAGATGATTCAATGGAAAAAGTCAGACTCTCAACATTGATGCAAAAATAGTTCTTCAATCGAAATTCTTCTACATTCGTTTTAGATGACGGGAAAGATATGCATCAAACTAATGTCCGCACCAGAATGAAAGAGGGGTGAGTGTAAGCGCAATAACTCGATAACGGCAACAGCTAGCAACCTGTGGTTTCCACCAATTGAAAGAGGAGAGGTCGGGATATATTTTCTCCCGATAATGTATAAGACGAAATCCTTTTAAAACTGATTATCTTCGAGAAACATGCAAAATAAAACATGAAAATGACTTGTTATCTAGATTAAATTTTGATTTTGACCTTTGATTTAGATAGAGGGACTTCAGATCTATACATCAAGATACAATGCAAAAGGTTTTCTTATTATATTCTAACGTTGAGCAGATGAAATCATGTATTTACATCCGCAAATAATAAGAGATTTCGCTGACTTTTTGCTGGTCTTTTGAACTTTTTATGATGATAGCTTGACATCTCGATGAAAATGTAATGAAATGTAAGAAAGCGCATTGTATCTTGAACTATAGATCTGAAGTCTCTCTATCTAAATCAAAGGTCAAAATCAAAATTTAATATAGATAAGAAGTCATTTTCATGTTTTATTTTGCATGTTTCTCGAAGATAATCAGTTTTAAAAGGATTTCGTCTTATACATTATCGGGAGAAAATATATCCCAACCTCTCCTTTTTCAATTGGTGAAAACCACAGGTTGCTATCTGTTGCCGTTATCGAGTTATTGCGCTTACACTCACCCCTCTTTCATTCTGGCGCGGACATTAGTTCTGATTGTAAACATATTCGCAAATGACGTTTTGACTCATGATCATATGTGATTGGTTGCATACGAAGGATGCCACAGCACTTATACCCAGAATACACCTTCAATTCGTATATCGCATTTGAATTGAAAATGCATGTATACTATGCCCTAATCATGCTGATAAACAGATACTTGCACAGATTCTGATTGATTCTTTCATTAGATATATATTTATGATTAGATATATTCTTGACATCAACGATCTTAAAAAGAAGGTCCACGAACTAATACAAGGCAAAACAAGCTTCAAACAAGTGGGTGTCTAAACAATTGATTCAAGTGAGAAAGAGCAAAATCTCTATTGAGCTGCTCAGACCAAGCAGGACATTAACATACAGAACAGGGATTACGATCATTTTTCTCTGTCTTCCATTATTTAAACAGTTCTTCTAATGTTTTACAAAGGTTTTTGTATATTTCTGTACGTCAATCTTTTTAGAAAATAAGCAAGTTATTCACTGTTGAGCTACGAATAAAAGGTAGGATATGGTTATGATGCAATTTCAAATTCCAATGCAAACAAGAAAATATTCAGTTAATAGACGAGACAAACGAATTAGTTTTCATCAAAAAACGATTTCAAATTGATTTGGAAAAATGTTTTTTATGCTAGAACAGCACGTGGAGTTTGACTTCGAATTCGAACTCTTGTTCACACTGACTCTTTCCTTCATTTGTCTACTTAAAAAACATAGTTTCGAATTCGATTCTCGAGCAATTCCTTCGTCGTTATTTCTAGTTTACGAATGGATTGTTGTCTTGGTATTTGAATATTAGTTTCGAGTTATTTTCTAACTGAAAATACTATCGTCTGGTTCACCGGTGTTCGAATTTAACTTTGAATCTTATGATTAATACCATGCTGAAGAAATCGGATGTTGATCATAAGTTCTGATGGTTTTGTTTGATGCATGCACCAAAATAATGAACAGGGGTAACATTTGCATTAGAACTTAAGAATCAGGCATACAGAGAAAACAATCCTAAATGATCGACTTAAAATGAAAAAATAGATACACTGTTAATTCGTACTTGTGAGCTTTGAGTCGAGCGAAAAATCTTGGTTCACATTTGCATACTGACTTTTCGAATTCAATTTTTTCCAGTAGCACGAGCTGTTACATATAGTCAAATGGTTTAAGCACGATTTTTTTTCTCTTTCTTTTCAGATTGTTAATTGTCGGGTGTGGGTGTGGGCCAGCAAAGAGAACATCACTAATACCTATGAGCATAACCCACAGCGACACTCACCTACAGCCACAGCCATATCTACGCAACCCCATCACACTCACATCCGCAGCAACTACCACGACTTATCTTTGTACGACTTATTTGAATTTTGAAATAAAACTCATGTCGTTTTCTCTACTATACATGTATACCTACAGTGTGAGTGAGCGGAAAATATTAATAAATTTAATAGATCCAAAAAAGAAGCTCCAACATTTCCTCTTTTAATGATCTAATTTTGATGGAATATTTTTTCGCCGAAAAATATATATGAGTCAAAAACATCAGCTACTTATCAGGCGAAAGAATCATGACCTGAGAGTAGATAAAAACGAACAATTACCCGTAAGTTTCTTTTTGCTTGGCAAGAAAAATTATTTTCTTTCACCTATACTCCTTCAGATAAGAAAGATATCATTGGAAAAAGCCAACCGAGTAGGTAGATTTTTATCTATGTTTATTTGATGACATTATATAAAGCTCTCCATATATAGGTAGCGATATCGAATTTTTGCACAACATATTAACAACATTTTCTTCATTGCATTTTACCCTTTGTTTACATTGAACAGTAAGTATGCTGCATAGAAAAAATATTAGTTATATTGCTTTATAGAGGCAATTTTTTTCAAAAGAAAGCATCGGTACAAGTTTTTAATTTTTTCTTGGCATCTTTGTGAGACATCATGAGCGAGATAAGTGTTGATCATGACTGGTCTAAACACAGTGTAAAAGCTAAACAATAAATTTTATTAAAGTCACTAATATTCTTTTTTTGTAGAGAAATCTTATCTCTATAAGGCTACATACAGACAAAAGTTTGTCATTGTGTGCTTTTTGACTTATTTAGATACGTTTTCAAATGTTCAAAACTGAATTTTACATCTTGATGAATATTTACATTGGTCTCATTTTCTTACTGTTTGTTGGAGTAAACGCAAGTCCATTGAAAGCTTTCAATAATCCGCTGAATGGCAAAGCCATAGACCTGTTCATCGTTGTGGACGAAGGAAATTCATACGTGGACATAATGAAATTGGGTCTGATAAAAACGGCCGTAAATAATATGGCTACCGAACTGAATCCATCTGGGTCAAATCCTCTGTTCGGTGTCTTTTTCTACGGTGCAAGAACCGCAGTTAATGTTGTTGCTCCAATGGTTACTACTGCTGCAGCAGTCAAGACAAAATTGGATCAGCAACAATATACAGTGACACAGTCAAATCCATCTACATTGACGTTGGCTTTGGATACTGTGGATTCGCATTGTCAGAGCTATTGTCGGTCGGGCGTATCACGAGTAATTGTTATTATCTCTAGTACACCAGATTCTTTAGCTGAAGCCAGAATTCGACAATTAGAAAGAAATCGTGGGATGACATTCATCGTTGTTGGTGTCGGCGTCACTGGTAGCACGGCCGCTTTGAATCGGCTCGCTTCACATCCTACACGATATTATGCTGTTCCAGTTATGAGTTTCTTTGAACTGATTCTTGCAGCTTCACATATCTCTTCTGTGATATCTGATGTACCACGTCTAGTCGATATCAATAGTCCATTATCGATTCCCAGTCTGGTTGTTAATACTTATTACACGGTGCAGCTTAATACGTATTCATTCACAACTACAAATGACACAATCATCATGGTCGCATCTAATTGTCCAGGCTGTTCTGTATATGGTTCGCTGTCTGAACCAAATCCCATTAGTGCTAACACAAATCAAAATTCAAACCGTCAAAATTTCTTTGCTGCTAGTGGATACCCGAACAGCTTGTATTATTTTCGTATACCAAAAAACACTAGTCGATTCTATTTAAGCGTACTAGGAAATGGCATGTCTTCCGCCTATATCTTATTAAATATTTTCTCTATGCCCGATATGATGACAATTTCAACTAGAAATTTTGAACCAACAGATCTTGTGAGCATCATTGGATAAACAATTTATAAAATTCGAACAACTGTTTTTTTTCTTGCTGAATAGTTTCGAAAGAAAAAAAAATTTTTTGTAGCTAATTTATTATTACCAAACATTTTAACTGAATGTTAATGAGATAGAACGTTGAACGATTATTTTCTAAATAAATTTTGTCTGAGAGTTTTATTGAACAAATATGAACCCATTCGGGAATGCTGTATCAATTGACTTGAGGGTGAGCATGTTGGTCTGGGTCTAAGATTGGTTGTGAGCTGTGAACCTTGGTATTGTAGAAGATATCTGTTTGAAGAGAAGACGCATATTCACAAGCGAAAACCCCATTTGCTGACAATCTATATTGAAGGTAAGATTTATATATATTAGCGAATTCGTTGCAAATGTTGAATAATAGTTTACATACTTTTCTAATAAAGCTCGTCTAATGTTTTAAAAAAGCTCAACGATACTTTTGACAAGACAGCAATCGGGTGTTTTATTTATAACATGAATATGAATAGTAAATGTTCATCGCCGACATTCAAAAGCTAGTGACGTCCTATTTTTGCATATAGCTTTACTTAGACCTAAAACAGTGCAAGTTTAACATGTCAGATGAACATCTCAAGGTGACTATGTTAATAAAACAGTTCCTATCAAATGGATTGCTAAAGCAGCTTAATCGAAAAGTTTACCCTGCACTGTGTTAAGTCTAGAATCGCCTCAGAGATACTCTCTCAACGAAATAAAAAAAAGTATATTATCATGGTCTGAGAACAGAGACAAAAATCATCGGATGATAAACTTAAGCTTAACTATTGAGGATATTACTGTTCATATTTGTAAGAAAAGCAGTCATTTCAAAATATAATAAGAATTTTCTTCGAATAAAATATTGCTTTTGGGTGATGATTATCGTCTCTTCTACTTATTTTTGAAAACAAATGACGTATTAATACAGTATATATATATATATTTGTGGCAAATAATGCATTTATCTCAAAAAATAATTGACCGCCAAGACAAAACTAAATAATAAGAGTGTAGGATTGGCGGAAAAGAAGATGTACACACATTTCCAGAAACATAATCATATTGGCATGCACAATAACTCACACATAGACACAACTTCAGCATCTTATACAAAATAGATAATGAGAATTAATAAATGTACTGTCAACGCAATGAATAAATCTCTTGTAATAATCAATAAAAATCTTGTCAAGTTTTATTTCGTATTTGAGGTAAAACAGGACGCGAAAAGTCACAAGAAGTGATTCAACCGTATCACTTATTTTCTTCACACTGTTGTCTTTCATTCCATATTTCATAACATAGATTCAAGCTACGTCTACTTGTAAAAACTAATGAAAACAAATCAGGTTTATACTTTTGAAACATATATTCTGGATGTCTAAAAATCAAGAACATACGTGCTTATTTATTTAGACAGCAAAAAAAATTAGTCTGCCTACCCATCATGCAAATCATACATGTCAGACCAATATGAAGATGGATCGGCACACTTTTGATGATAAATATATTGACAACCTAAAGTCGATGGATATCGTGGCGTGCCGCTACCACAACAATTGAATGATGAACAGCTATGACCATAACCTTCATATCTCTGAAAGAAAAAGAAAAACATGTTATTCATCGTAAATAACGAAAAGTCATAAATTGAACTTCTTTCAACCAATGAAATTGTGATAATAGGTATTACAACGAAAACGATGGTAGCCAAAATCAACGATCATGCACTAACCGATTTCACATTTTATGATAAGGTATTTCACTGAGATTTGAAAAAGTAGCGCCCTCAAACAGGTCTATGTGTCAGATTTTATGTTAGAATTAAATATTCGATATTCACCCCTGGATGATACAGACACAACATTTCTTTTTCATTTTTGAGCTCATTGAAATATAATCCGCATCGTTGGCACAACGCCATGAATGGCAAAACATTTTGCATTGTCAATCGAGTATTGTATTTTGACAAACAACTGGAATGAATAAAAATTCGTTCTAAGTTTTGTTTATGGTCATCAGTGTTGAATAGACGACAAGCACTTGAGAGATCAATTTTTTCACACTGATAAAATTCCATATGCTTAAGTTGTTTACAAGACGCAGCTATATATTGAATACCAGTCACCGTTAACAAATTACCCTCAAAGCTAATTTCTTTCATTGAAGGGAATAAACAAGCAGTAAATCGTAGAGACTCGTCAGTATGAATGAAATTTTTAAATTGAACCTACAATATGAAGAAAGTCTTCATTTAAAATAATGAAAGTGCATGTTTCAAAAAACATTTCAAATCTATTCGATTGAAACTATGAACAAGTGTTATTGGATTTGTTGAAATCTGTTTGAAATAGGTTTTTAAATAAGTCCGAAAGATAATCACTTGAAATCAAGTGTTCAAGATTCGCTTGATCTATAGATCCGAAATCAAAATAGATTTACATGTTCTACTCTATAAATCAATTCTATCTGTTATCATACTTTTTCTACCAGTTGAAATCGTCGTATACTTTCGTCTGACGATGCCATTTTTTCTAGAACGTGTTCTAGAGCTTTCGGATTCTCTGGCGGTAAAATCATCGACCATACTTTCATTTTAATGATTTTTTCAGGATTATGACGTTTGCTACCATAATCACGCATACGACCGATATAAGGTAATTCAATCACATTTGGCCATAATTTCAAATCATAATAAATACGTTCTCTCCAAAAATGACATGTTTGTGCTAAATGGACAAGACTTCGCAAGTCTAAATAGCTCAATAAAATCGGAATTATATCAAGAAATGGTCCTGAGTCCATGGTAAATACAACTAAAATAGGCAAATGCTCGTCATAATGAAGATGACACTTTCATCGATCATTGGCTTACATGTGTTGTCCGTCATTCGTGATTCCAGTTTTTTTTGCTACGAGTTTACTTTTGTTTTTGGTCTTACTGTGGTACTGTATTACGAATGCCAATGCAATTATACCAGAAATATGTACATGAATTGATTACCATGGAGGAGAAAAATATTTTTGCTTCGTTTCATTTTGTTGTTATTCAAATTTTTGTCACATGGGAAAGGAATGAAATAATCATGACATCACTTAGTAAACAAGAAATACACAACGCACTGTACATTTTATCGAAAAACAACGGAAACTTTGTGCATTGGTTTGCGTATTTTTCGAGTAAACCACTAAAACTAAGAGACATATCTTACTGTGAATCGATAGCATTGGCTTTTTTTTACGTCTACTCCATAAAATAGAGATTTATACAAATTATTTTCCTTCAATAACTATTGAACTAATAAAGAAAAACTGTTCATTGGTATGGCAACTTTTAGTTTGATATTCTCAATAGATCATTTTTAAATTGGACAAACGAGATGGTGTTTGCATGATTCTAATGGCACTGGCAAATGTCAATGAGAAAATTATTTCGTTAAATATATTGCCGTATTACAAGCAAGCAATGCTCTCCTAGAGAAAAATTTGCTTCAAGAAACAAAATCTATATGGAATACGAATCAAACTGAAAAAGATTAGATTGATTGAACTGATTGATCAGCTCTCGTTTTACAACATTGTACATGTCGCATTGACTTTTATCGAAGAATCCAAACTACTCGCATCCACATTCGTTCTCTTCATAATCTTATAGAATTCATATAAATAAAGATTTTATGTTAAATACTATCGCTTTGAATGACAGCCCATTTTCTTCTAGTTGATTTTCTCAACATATATATTGATTTTAGTCGTTCTGACTCTCTCATATTCACTATACTATTGTGAAGTATATTTTAAATAATCTGATTGTGAGAATCAAGTCAACAGCCCAATTTCATTGTTAATAGTGACTGTTTTTCTTTTCTTTTTCGTTGCTACATTACAAGTGACGTTATGTCCATTAGTTTTTGCTCAGAAGAATTTCAACGTCACTAAAGTCCGATACTTTTCTTATATCAGCATAATCTTACGTCTTATTTTAGTATGCGAGTCTTTGCTATAAAGCCGATGAACATGATATTAACGAAATAGACACATAATTTGAAAATGCAACATATACGTCCAATGCTAATGGAACCATGGATATATGGAGTCTGGCTAAACCTAAGAAAGAGTCAGAACCAGCTACTTTTCTGATTCACAATACAAATCCGAGTAATACTCTGCTATTCTACCAGTATCGATCATTTTTATTCTTATGTAAAGATCAAACGGTCAAATACAACGTAATTCAAACTGACTATGGGCAATATTATTGATTTATTCATGTAATTATTTTCCTATTTTAGGCATAAATCTTCTTTTCTTTCATCTGTCCATAATGCAGTAGCTTTCGATTACGATTCTATTCTTCTATTTGTAAACGGATGAATTCGAAGTAAAGTTTGTGACAATGATACACATTCAAAACTTTACAACTTCATTTCAAATCGAAATTCATCTTGCACACATGGGAAACAAATTAATCAATCCTTTTTGTTTTTTACAAAGTCATTTCATGTAAATCTTGGTTAATTATAAGAAAGAATCGATATTAATGAACAAATTTGAGTTATAGATATGTATTAAGCACGGATCCTATCCGAAATATGTGTGTTAGAAATTCAATTTGCTGTGCGCTTGAGGAAAAGTCAAAATTCCGATCAAAGTCACAGCATTTTCTCTCATCTCATAATCTGCAGAGAAGCTAACTGTGACTGTAGAAGAATGATCGAATATTGAGTAAAACTGATATGGTCAAAATATGCGAAAGATATTTCGAAGAATGCATTAATACTCTTGCTTTTCCACCTTAGTGTTGACTTTGTTCTTTGTTACAAATCAGATAAAACCCACTGCTGACAAGCAATAAAGTGGTTCATTACACATTTAATCATTGAACTTTTCTGCGCAAACAAATGCAGTTACTCTAGTGTTTCTTATGAAAACATACTATCTATTCAACGAAAAATATGAAGAGAAAATACGAACAACTAGAAATTTTTCTTGCACATCTACGCAGGATCCATGAGATGCAAGGAGCACGTGTCATCTTGGCCAAAAGATACCAAGCCTATTGATATCTGTCTTGCATTAACGAAAGCCTATTAAGAAGCTATGATATAAATTTCACATGAAAAGAAAAAGAGCAAGATTGTAGAAAATAGTAGTATCCACATCTACATCCGATTAGAATGTTCGATGAAAGTCAAGAGAATTTGTTAGTGAAATTCAGAGTTAGTGCATTTTTCAAACAATTCCAATTACCTTTCAATAAATAACTCTGAACAATGTAAGTTTATCGATCTCGAATACTTGTTCTTAGAAAGAACAAATGAAGATCAAAGCTTGACTTGAAAATAAAAATACAACATAGTAGAGATTTAAAGTAAAAAATCAAGAGCTTGAATTAAACAAAAATAATAAACAGCTTGAATAACAATTGCAAATTGTTTATATTGACATCTAAACAAAAAAATCAAGCATCTCCAATGATTGATAAATCAAACAACAAGTATACGAAAGAATCAGCTTCAAAACTTTCATGTAAATAAACTTATAACGAATCTATTTTAATGTTTATTCTCGATAAAAACTATTTACTATTTTGTATATAGTATTCCTTCGTAAACGAAAATACGATTGTTTTCCAGAATAACACATGTTTTACATAAATGTGCGTCTCTCAGCAAAACGAATTAATTTTATTACATTGCCTTCCTGTTGGAAACCACATTGTCAAAATTTTTTTCCGAAATGTTATAGTTTCCACAAATGATATTCTTTCGCATCTGTCTGATAATACCTAGAATATCTGATGCTATGAGCACGTACAGTCAGTTTATTTTCTTATACATTCTTAGTTTGTTCAAGTAGCCATTTGTAAATCTCTGAATTATTATATGTTTCTGTCCATGAATCATGTGTTAGATTCGGATAAACTGTTGATTTGCAAAGTGGACTATTCAATACTTTAATTAATGATAATGATGCTTCAACTGGTATCACATCATCTAATTTTCCATGAAAATTCCATATGGGTAAATGTTTCAAAAGTGAAACACGCTGATCATCGCCCCCACCACATATAGGAATTATGGCAGCAAAACGAGCAGGTTGATCCATTGCGAGAGACCATGTACCATAACCACCTAAAAAGGCAAATAACAAGTGAAATACATGGAAATAAAAATAATTAATAAAAAACATCGTATGACAGACCTATTGCTACATGAATTCGTTGAATTTTCCCATTAGAAAAAGAAATCATTAAGAAGCAAAACTCTCTATTAAAGATGAATCATTTTCAAAACAGTCATGTTTGTTAAACGAGTAAAAAATCTTATATAGACACTAGCCTGTTACTTTGATTCACGTTACAGTAAGATATCTTTTTTGAAAATTATAAAATATAATTTTGAACGAAGAAAATTTTCGATTTGCTTCATTTTTTCTTCATTGCATAAGAGCATATCTATTCTAGAGACTTTCATCAAGTGTTCACATGTGGACCTCTACATATCTATATAAGTCGAAGCAATAAAAAAGTTAAGATTGAGAAAAGACTATGGCTAACGCATATGACTATTCTATTCTAGCTTTGTGAGCTGTCTTTTACTTGTACGAGAGTAATATTGTTAAAATATGTTTTCTGAAACTTCCTTTGAACCAACTTACCCATACTAATACCAGTCACATATATTTTATTTTTGTCAATACGATATGTTTGTTCTAATTCATCCAAAAGAACTGACAAGACTGTTGAATCCCATCCATAATCTCGATCAACTTGTGGACTACACGTAATAAAGTTTTCGGCTACTAATCGTGCGCATTCCATATTAACATTATCCATTGAATGATTATCTTGTTTGTTGGATGAATAAGCATGAACTAATTTGGGAAGACCATGTTTTAGAACTTTTTCAATTGGACTATACGATTCTCCAGCACCATGTAAGAATAAGAGAAGAGGCCAGCGTTTGTCTGTTGTCTCGGATTCATAACCGGAAGGAACGGATAATAAATATCGATAAGCAAATGGAATTGCTGATGTTTTTTTCTGTTGAAATACTTTTAACATCTAAAAATAATGCAGACCAAATTTAACAGTTTAAAGTCAATAAGTACTTTTTAATCTTAATTTATATAACAACTCTTTCTATACAATAAAACTATGTTCAGATCTATTTTGCTCGGTATCATATCCAAATCTTAATGAGAGAAATAATACATTTGGTTAGACTTTCTTTCGTAATTTCGATTGCTTGAGTTTTTATATTTCGAAAGTATATCTTGTCTTCAACTTGGAGATCATACAGTCATTTTGTTACACAGTCATTGTAGTACCGGTTTTCTAATTCATGAATGATGAAATTTTCTTTAGATCAGATGGAAGAAAGAATATTGAGGTTGTACTTTGACAATTGATTTTTCTCTATTTAAATAGTATTCAATATCTATTAACAATAGAGACACTTAGAGTTCGTATACGGCTCATACATGGTCGTTGCTAAAAATTGACATTGAGTCTTTAATCAGACTGACCTTGTATAAATGCTTTTACACAGTGGCGAGCAAAAACTTGGTTCATTTTTCTTTGGTAAAAAGAAAGGCTTTTCAATACAACACAGTTTAGTCAATACAATTCCATGAAAATGACATCTAAATTGTCAAAAAGTATCAGAACCGTTTATTGAACATATACTTTCCGAA